TTTCAGGTGTCCCGCAAGGGCCTATACTGGGCTCATTACTTTTTATTATATATACTGCAGATATTTTAAATGGAATAGAAAACTGTAAATTTCAAGCTTTTGCCGATGATACACAGCTTCATCTCAGTTTTCGTACTGAAAATTTCGAATCTGCCGAAGAAATGATGAACAATAAATTTAATAAAATCAAGGTAGCATCAGAACAACACAACCTGAAACTCAATTCTGAAAAATCCAAAGTATTATATTTCGGTAGTAAAAATAATATGAACTTCTTAAAGAATAGTTTCAATTTTCGAATTGATAATACTCAATTGAAAATCTTTATTTGGTATTAGATACAGACATGCGTTTTTCTTAGCAATAAAAAAATCTTATAGGTATATTTTTCGCATCTCTGAAACTCATTCACAGTAATCGTCATATTCTCAACTCCGAAATGAAACGAACGTTTTGCCAATCACTTGTCCTGAGTTATTGTGATTTCTTTTATGGACCATGCCTCACAAAAGTCGATAAGAATAGAATACAAAAAGTGCAAAATAGCTGCGCAAGACGATTCATGGTATCAGAAAATATGAACAAATATGAACATATTTCACATAAAATTGTTGAATGCAACTGGCTCAATATGTACAATAGAAGACAGCTCCACATGGGTACCTTCACTCATAAACTTTTAAATGATCCTAACCCTCCAACATTGATCAATAAATTTATTCCTCGATTCAAAATACATTGGCAAAATATCAGATACAAATCTACCCTTACCATGCCTCAGCACAAAACTGAGCACAAATATATGATACTCTGCCTGATGAATTCAAATTATCTAATATAAAAAAATGGATGTTTGTTGGTAAGTGATAAACTTTTACATCGCTCAACCGATCGTGATGAAACTTGACATGTATAAGTAATTTTCCATAGAGAAGGTTTTTAGGCTATCAATTTTTCTGTAACTCGCCACTAGATGGCGCTGTAGAACAATTTTTGAAAGCACTGTTCTATAACGCTGCGAAAGCCTAAGTTTGTTGATTCTGATTCTGTCAAAACAATGGAACAGCAGCGATACAGCAACATAGTACTAGTATGTAAAAAAAAGAAGAATGAGGGAGTCTTCCAAAGAAAGGAAGGAAGTAATACATACATATACATACATGGATGTGTAGATCATGCAAAGAAGTAACTTTCAGACACAAACTGAAAGAAAGTCCTCCTGAAACAGCTACTTTCATATAAACATTGAATTATACGAAAGAAAAAAATCTTTCAAAACAAAATACTTCTATATGAACACTGAATTATACAGTGTTCAATATAACTCCTTCAATTCATAAATTGAAGCATTATTTACTTGGTAAGCGGTAAGCATATTTCTGCGACCAGAGATAATAATTACTTCATTTCTACCTCATACTTGATTTCAATTTATCATGATCTTTATTGTTTGCTATGTATTCACTCATAATTTACAATTTATAATGTATTTTTTTCTTTTATTTCATGGTTTTCTATTGATTCAAAGTTTGCCAGACAATTTTGTTAGTATATATATTCCTTTTGTGCTCTGTCCCTCTGTTGGTTAAGTGGAATAGCTTTGAGCTATACTTCATTTCTACCTCATACTTGATTTCAATTTATCATGATCTTTATTGTTAGCTATGTATTCACTCATAATTTACAATTTATAATGTATTTTTTTCTTTTATTTCATGGTTTTCTATTGATTCAAAGTTTGCCAGTCAATTCTGTTAGTATATTTCATTTTTTTTCCTATTGAGCTCTGTCCCTCTGTTGGTTAAGTGGAATAGCTTCGAGCTAGATTTCGTCAACAGTTTATGTATGAACCAGTTATGTACTATTCTCTAATGAGAATAAAAATGAGTTTATCATTCATATATCAGTGCTTCATCAGTGCTAAATTCATTTTCAGCAAGTATTCTATTGAGATCTGAGATCAGAAAAACATCTCTGCGGGTCAGATCTGGAGAATACGGTGGATTCAGAAGTAGTTCGAACCCAAATTTTTGCAGTTTTGCCATTGTCAAACAGTGTATTGTCTTGATGGAACAACATTTATTTTTTCTTCAAATGGGGCCGTTTCATCGCGATTTCGTCCTTCAAACGCTTCGATAATGCTTGTAATAGCCGGTAACAGCCCTCTTTGAGGCATCTACTGCGTTCATTGCCATTGGTGCTCATTTCACCTCCATTGAATGTAGCAAACTACTTCTCAGTAGTTGATTTTGCTGGTGTGAAGTTCAAATGATGTTTATGAAGCCATGCTTTGTTAACACACGAAACTCCTTTTTATCCATTTTATTCAAACTAACAAAAGTTGCTTCGCTCAAAAACTTGGAAAACTGTTCCGAATTAGAAAACTGTACACTCTTCAACAACTTTTGATGCTTCATAAAGCTTAGATCAGTCTTTCTTTGGAGTATTGTTCTCATGTACGGAGCTTCGCCTTACAACATACCCTAAAGCTGCTGGATTCCAGGCAGAAAAGAGCCATCCGCCTGATTTGAGACGCGAACATCACTTGCAACCTTGGTAGTCTGGAACATCGAAGAAAGGTTGGGGAATTGTCTCTCTTCTATAGATACTTTCACGTTCAAGTGACAAGTGTTCAAGTGACTTGGCACATTTGATTCCACCAAGAGCAGTACATATCAGAAATACGCGACGGACTGTGGCTGCTCATCGTTTTTAGGTTCAATTCGATACACCTCGAACTTGACTGTTTGAGAATTCTTTCATTCAGAGAACGGCGTGTGAATCACTATAAACACAGGCTTGTGTTTTGTCTTCAAAAAAAAAATTCGACAGCTGTGAAATTTGTACACGTTTTCTGAGAGTTAGAATCAACTGAAAATAAATCATAAGGATTTGATACTAGTAGCGCCATCTGTGTGTTAGCCCACGAAATTTTCAGCCCACCTAGTAGAGAGTCGGTCAACTTTAGTGAAATAAATGAAAGCACTTTCGTTTGATTTCCACCTGTCATTTATTTTTTCGGTAGGTTTCTGGTTTTATCCCATTATCAAGTATCATACTAACTGACTCGGTCTGTCCACTCAAATTCAGAAAAAATAAAAAAATTGTGTGAATCGAATATGCTATCGCCAAATGTTTCTAAAACAAATCTGATAATCAAGTGGGACTTAGAACAAGTAATACTAGGTGAACAAATAATTAAAATTAAGCCTGTAACTAAATTTATTGGTATATTTATTGACAGTAATTTAAAACTTGATTCGCAAATTACGGATTTAAATTACTACTTCTTTACAAAAATAAATTATCTTAAGGTTGCTTTGCTATAAATCTAATATCGTGAACTCGGATTTTCAGCAGCAATAAATGCATACTGATTACTTATGGTGAGTCATATCCGGTATGGAATTTCTTTCTGGAGCTCAGGCAGCCAGATTTTGATGAAGAGTATATTCGTTATCNACTATCTTGCACTGATGAGTGGCTAATAAGCCCGTAACCGGTCTGTAAGTGTGCCCGTTTCCTGAATTGAAGGTCGACTCTTTCGGTTGTAGTGCCAATTATATATGCAGGAAATTTTCTGTGGAGATTCTTGCACTGACGCCTGTCGGATATAATCCAACGCCCTTCGTCAGTTCATTGAACCTACTCTGTTGGTATATCGGGACTGGCTTGAACGTTTGAAGTTCATTTGCTTTAGATTTGTTTACTGTCAGTCTTCAAGCATAGCCCACTGACTAATAAGAAAGTTTTTCTTCCTTATTCAATGGAATCGGGCACATTACGGATATGCAGTTGGTTAGTACCTCGTCCACTAGATGGAGTGACATTTTGTGATGTTCGCTCCAACTTCGAAAGAGAAATGAAATACTTTTACTTCAGGTCGATGATGGTCACCATCTTGCACTGATGAGTGGCTAATAAGCCCGAAACCGGTCTGCAAGTGTGCCCGTTCCAGAATTGAAGGTCGACTCTTTCAGTTGTAGTGCCGATTGCATATGCAGGAAATTTTCTGTGAAGATTCCTGCACTGACGCCTGTTTAATTGTTTTCTGATAGGCGTCAGTCCATTAAACCTACTGTGTAGGTATATCGAGAGTGACTTGAACGTTTGAAGTTCATTTCCTTTAGATTTGTTTACTGTCAGTCTCCAAGCATATCCCACTGACTAATAAGAAAATATCTAACTAATACATTGAAAATCTGAAAACTTCTCTCAATTTTACTCATTAGTTTCACTATTTTTTTGAAACTTTTGCATTGGTTATTCTGAAGCCACAATTAACATGAATTTCATTCCAGTGATTCCGCTCAAGATGGCGAACAGCTTGGAGAAGAAGCAGGAATGCTGTATGCTGAATATTTGATGTTGGATAAGATTTTAGGAGCACAAAGATTACTTGGGGAGGAATACCATGCACCAGTTCATGATGAACATTTATTCATCATCACTCATCAGGGTGAATGAAATTTGTTTTACTTACGTTTCGATATCTCGCTGTGACTTTTAGAATATTCTCTTCCACCAAATATTTTGTGATTCATCTTTCAAAAACCTTTTATCGTTTTTCAGCTTATGAACTTTGGTTTAAACAGATTATATGGGAACTAGATTCCATCAGGAATGTTTTCAGTGAAATTCTGGAAGAATCTCAAACACTGGAAATTTTAAGGCGGTTGAACAGGGTGGTCCTGATATTGAAGGTGAGGATATTTTAATAACGTAAAAGTGAAGTCTATAATCTGAACTAAATATGAACTTATGATGATAACGTATTTGATTTCTGTATGATTATTTGTAATGGATAGACTCAAAAACATCTAGGATCTATTTCACTGATGAAATGTTTATCCGCTATATTCCATAAAATAGAAATCCCTACAAATATTGTAGGAACGAATGACATGGCATCAAAAATGAAAATAATTATTTATCGTATACCACATGCTCACAGTACTATACATCAGAATCCAAACCTAACCATCTGACTCATACAATTATCTTGCCAGAAATGTGGGGAAACTTAGAGGACACTGATTTGGTTTGAACTCTCGATAAAAAACTCACTAGATTTTGAGCTTTAGAACAATTTACTGTTTGATATTTCACAAGTAATTCATTTCACTCAATCAAACGAATATCATGTGGAACGGTGATTCGAGCCATACGGCTAAACGATTGATTTTCACTGCATATCATCTTAATCGTGCTGAAAATTTCACTTCGAAAGGTAAGACCATGTTTCCGTTCATGGGGTGGTCAGCGACATATTTCAACATATTCTAATAAGTTAGTACAGCCATATTCCAAATAAGTGTTGAGATATAATTTCAGAGAAATTGTATTGTCCCTATTCTATAACGATATTATTCGTCAACACCACTGCATATAATTTCTATCTGCCGACCTTATTTTGGACTAGGCTGCTTCAATTTTGTGATCACAAACATTTATAAATGCACATGGTACATATAAATATTACTGGAGTTCTATTCCAACACCAATCCATTACTTTCAATACCTCAGCACGTGTTTCAATCACCTAGTGATCATCTCCAAGAGATGATCACTAGGTGATTGATGAACTTCCTCTTGAAGGTTATCACTGTTAAACAACTCTTCCATTTGGATAAAGCATTCATATGGAATAAACTTCCTGAGAACGTTTTTTCAAATAGATTGATCTCCAGCGATTCAAATCGATCATTACTTTCGTACAGGTACCGCTCTTAGAGCACCTCAAGGATTTTTCTGTAGTGCTGTGTTCGGCCCTTGAAAAAAAATGCATTACATGTTACATATATTCTATGTTCTTGCTGATGGGTTTGACATATAGTTAGAGCAAGAGTATATATATATGAAACACATGACTGTGAACTTCCTCCAAAGACGCCTAGATTATCTTTTTTGTGGTATCTATTCAAGAGAAACGAATGAGTAGGTAGGTAGGTGGGTCCGAAAAGTAATCTATTTGAATCTTCACTGCAATCAGCAAGATTTTATTGTGGCATACACCTATTGAAACTCGATCGAACGGAGCTGATTACTTCATTCAGTGAATGATATTTCGGATCAGCTGAAACCTTCATGGAGCAAGCAACAAGCCTGGTGGCTCTGCTACCAAGCCCAGAATTTCTTCGTGAAGAATAATCTCCTTTAAGGTTGACAGACCATAGTACTGTTTTTTTAACCAAAGAGAATATAATCCATGTTCAGTCTACGAGTAACTTCGACAGGTAGGTAAGCAACACAAAGTGTGACTCAGGATGGAGGTCTTCTGTGACGCTTTGATGGAAAAAACTACGAAGTTCTTACCACAATACCCACGGCAACCTTTTCGTATGGGAATTTGTTAGTCAGCTACACCTAATAATGCTTTATTGTTAGACTTGCAGGGTCTTTTTGCCTCTGCTATGGGTGACGAATGTGTAGAGAATTTTTATCAATATGAACTTCTTATCCGGCAACCGTCGAATGGACATTTTCCTCTTCCACACATAATGACTACTAATGCTTCGAAAGTGACTTCTTCAAAATCTAAAACGTTTATCAATAATTTTTTATGATAATCTAATGAATTCTGAACACGTATTATATTTTTGATATTAAAAACTTGCATCACTGTGAGTCTCAGATATTTTAACTAGCAAAAAGTTTATGTCGAGATGTTACGACATTTTTTCTTCGCGAGCACTATAGTTCAAAATTTTCTTTCGAATGCGACTTCTCAATTTGCCAATAAGAGTTGCACTGGGATCGTCATCACACAACGCCATGTTTGTAGCATGCAGTTTTCACCATGTAATTCTACTTCAACCAAGCTAATCTGTCATTTCCACTGTGAACTAAAGATACTCATCTGCTGAGCTGAGTGGAGAAAATAGTGATACAAAATCATGAACTGCATGGAGAAAAGTTGATCACAAAAAGAGAAGTTGATCACAAAAAGAGAAGTTGAAGATGAGTTTGTGAAACACATGCACAGTAAAAACTCCACCATTGAGTAATAATGAAATTGAGGCATCATCTATCCATAAAATCAGAACTATATTGAGTTCAGCTTGTCATATTATAAGCAGTTTCCAAGATAAAATCGAGCATATGTCGCTATGATATGAAGAAGCAAGATTGCATAATTCAGTCCTATCTACCGAAATTATTATTCTGATGAAAATATTTTTGTGCACGAGGAATTGTTAATTGCGTTCAATGACTACAACACAACTATGATAATAACAAAATCTCAATATGAAACATTTCATGAAAATCATCCTAATTGGTTAATCAGACTCGATAGATAACAGTCCAGCGGTTATTGATAAGTTTTGGATCTTAGTCGCTTATAAGGGTCAATAACATTCATTACTAACTGTTATAATTTACCGAAAACTTGTTCCAGTCGAAACATAAGTTATTATCTATAGTTGAAATCAGAAATGGGATATATGCCTATTTGAACGTTCAGGTCTTTTATTTTATTCCTGTATTGTAATAGAGAAATGCTACACGAACATCCTTGAATACAGGTTAGATGAATATGTCTTTTCTGGATAGAACCTATTATTCTCGGAGCGTCTTTAAAAACGAAGCTCCATATACAGGTTATAACAAAGAGGTTCCATAAATTGAACCCCATATTCTGGGGTCAAATAAAACTCGATTGGGTGTAACTTACCTCAATGCAAATGTAAGACAATCTCTTCAACCCATAAAAATTTGTTAGTGGTATTGAATCCCAAAACTTTTCTATGCGTTACAATTGAATTAGTATTGTGACTCTATTGGTTTATTATGTTATTTTTCCACCAATTTTTCCGCAACGTAGACTACTTTCAAAATACGCTAGAAGCTGAAGCTTCAAAATTGACAGTATGCAGTTCTTGAAGCAACTGTTTGTGATTCATCAATAGGAGCTACAAGTCTTGAACATCTAGCTAACTCTTCAGAGAAGTTCACTTGTGATATAATTGTTGTAAGGACTTACAATTTGCCACGTAGGAAAAAAATCATTGATTGTTTTGGTGTAACGAATTATTAATATGTTTGTCAGTTTATATTTTCTGAAGATACAAGTTTGATATTTGTGACTGAATTCGTAATCACAAAAATTGACACTCCAAAGAAGCGAAACAATTGAATGAAGATAAAAGTGAAAATTTAAACATTTTCTAGTTTCTCTGGTGATTACCGATGGGAGAAAGTGTATGACTCATTATTTTATAGGTATTAGTGGATCAAGTTATGATTTTGGAGACAATGACACCACTGGACTTCATGGAGTTTCGAAACTATCTTCGACCAGCATCAGGATTTCAAAGTTTGCAATTCAGACTTCTCGAAAATAAGTTGGGTGTTCGTCAAGAAAATCGTGTGAAATATAACAAGAACTATGCTAAAGTTTTTGGAAATGACGAAGTAAGCTTTTATTATACACTAAATTATTTTTAGAAATGTCTTTATCATAACATTCAAGCCGGTTTTTATTCCTTCTCTTTTACAATTTGTGAATACATTTGAAGAAATGTTTCGGATCTGTATGTACCTACAGAGCGTCCATTGATATTGATATATATTTTTTTATTTCAACGGAAAGATTCGGAGGCAAATTGGATGTTGCCATTGACTTTTCTTTAGAAGAATTAGATATAAGCAATTATGCAGCAGACAATGTGGCCCTTGTCGTTATAATCTAAATGCACTTTCGAATCACAGTGGGACTACTTGCAATGGGCATTACACAGCTTATTGCAGACACTCTTACAGTGGCACGTGGAATGAATACAATGATTCACACGTGTCCCCAATTTCACCAAAATCGCTTGTGAGTGAGGAGGCATATGTCCTCTTTTATAAACAGGAGGGAACAAAGCAGCACTTTTGAGGTGTTTTTTTTTTTCAATAAGCTGAATTCTGTTAATTGATTTGGTATTTCATGATTCTTCTGATAATAAACCAGTTTATTCAATATCGAAAAGCAAATTTACTGAAATCGAGTCAACTTTATTTCAAATATAATAATTCCTACACAGAATAGTTTTAAGTTTTCTGCACAACCTAAAGTTATTTCAGAATATTGTAAAAATAGATGAATTGATTTGAAACTGTGACTTACTTTAGGAAGCCATGAAACAACTAGATGTATCGGAGAATGAACCTTCTTTAACGGATTTGGTACAAGGGTGGCTGGAGAGAACTCCTGGATTAGAGATGGAAGGGTTTGATTTTTGGGGGAAATATGAGAAAGCTGTAGAAATTTTGTTCAAAGAAGATGAAGAACGTGCAAATGTGAGTATCGCATGTTATATGCAATCGATTGAATTTGGAGTGTCGTATGATCATTCATTGTTATTATTCCGAAATAAATGAATAATTGATCTGATTCCTTCATTACATGACGGCAAAGAATCAAAAAGAGAGAAAGAAAATATTATAATTTTTTTGACATTTTATTTTATTCATCTTATATTTCAGTGATATTCATTCCTAGTGGGATATGTTCACTATATTTGATATTCAATTCATTATGAAATATATTAAGATCAATGAAAATTTCAAATAATTATCGCATGTTTGTTTTCTGCTTCATTTTCTGTGGGATATAAATAGAGTTTGTTGTATATCAGGTGAAGGTTAGGTTAGGTCCGAAGTGAGTATGTCTATTCGACCTCCACCGCAACACGCAAGGCTGCATATGATGATTCAAATGACAGTGACCTGTAAGAAGGCCTATTAGGCATCGTAGTTCATCCCTACTGTACTCCAACAACTGTTTGGTATCAAGCTTCGAAGGGTGAATGAATGCCTTGGAGTGAGCCATTCCTGGAAGATTCTGTCAGAAGTCCATAAATCTTTTTGCCATCCAGGTGTTCAATCCTTGTTTGGCGAAGCCTAAAGCGATGCCAATGACAGGTTCTGGTCCGATGAAGCTGTTTGCATCACTCTCCTTTGCAAGGAAATCAGCAGCCTCATTGCCTGGCCAGTATGGTCAGGAATCCAGACCGGAGACAATCTGTTGAGTCTTCCTATCGAGGAGATTCATTTTTGGCAATTTGCAACCAATTCAGACATTGCTCGACTGTTCGAGAATATTTTTATTGACTTGTATATGAGGTTGGATTTCTTCAATCTCTCCGCACACAATTCAGTAACGTAAATTTTCGCTTGAAATACAATCGCATAGGTTCCTAGGCAGGTTGATATCTCTGTCCCGGGTCTGCGACTGAAAATATTTGCACTAGAACCGGAAGGTGTTTTTGATCCATCTGTCAACCAAGAACTATCTGCTCTTAATATTTCTTTTCCCTGGAGGATTCAGTCCTCTCTACTCGAGAACAGAACTTTATAAGGCAGTTTGTAGTTGACAGTTGGAGGCATAAAGTCAGAGGTCACTTCCAGAATGCTATGTCTTCCAGTATCAACCAAAAGTCTGTTGCACTCTGCATTAAATTGACACTAGCCTCTCTTTCCAGAGAGAGGTAGTAGATCTAGAAGAATCTCCATGGCCACTAACGGTGTGGTACTGATGGCACCACTGATGGCCAAACAAGCCTGTCTCTGTAAGCCAGAGAGCATCGCCTGGGTCATTTTCTGTAAAAGCCTTCGGCCACCAGGCAATTGCACCATAACTGATCATTGGTCTACCAATCATCATATAAATCCAATGGTAGACTCCCGTTTTGCCTTTCTAATTTTTTTGTTGTATGTTGTTAGAGTAGCTTCATAAAGCTCCCAGTATCCTTTAGTTCTATTGAATAATCGCCGAACTTCTTTTCTTTACTTATCCAGGCTTTTGTTCCACCACGAAGAGTTATGATTATCTCTTCTACACCCCGTGGACACTTCTCATAATAGAATGAGATCACTGCTCGCGAAATTGCTCCGCTACTGTATTCATATCATTACAAATTCAAGTTCAGAACGTATTCTTGGAAAATTTATAAATTTTTGAGAGTGTTATCCTACAACTCCCCACGCAAAAATACCAAAACGTAACTGTGATCGAACTAATGATAGATACAAAATTCCAATGAAAGTGTCTCATGATGGATTTTCACATTTATATCGTAATAAAGGATAAGAAGGCAATAACACATAGTTCGAATCAGGCTCCGTTATCAGGTTTATCAGATTATACTGAATACAGTAATTATTTAATATGTTGAGGAAATTATGAGTACACATAGTCGAATTATTCTGAAATCAATGGAATATTATATTTTTCTTCGCATTGTTCGATTGTTCAAATAAACTGAGTTTGTAGATTTCATAACTGACAAAATATCTTTCTATACCTTTTCTTTGATCGAATGGTAAAATACACGGTATCATAATTTACTCTCCGTTCCGTAATATCTAGTAATTGGCCTCTAAAAATCAGGGATAGGAGATAAACAACTTTGGGGAAACGAGCAGCTAACGTATAATTTATACCTTACTGACAAACTCCCCAGAGGGGTTTTAATTACGGTCTCTCTTGCACGCAATTAATTTTGCGAAAATTTCCTCCACTAACCAATGACTCTGTACGAGAATGATCAACTCAGGCAAAGTTGGAAGAAATAGTATGTGAATCGGATCCATCCCAAAACTGATTTATTCAAAATTTCATAATTGTTGAAAAATGAGTTTAATTACTCAAAGAGACATGAATTTATATGATAAACTGAATATTTTGAATACATATCGAAACAATAGTGTCTCTCAAAAGTTCTTTCATATATGGCAAATGCAACTACTTTTCTGGGGCTAGTACCACGAAGATATCGCATTATATCCAACATGTATTTACGCAAGTTTTCTTGCAAAGAAAAAATGAGTTCTCGTTTGTTCACCAGCAAAACCTCAACGAAGATATCGAATGCTTACCTACAGACAAGGTTTCGGAGTATTATCATCCGGGACTCGACTGATTTCTTCGAAGCTACATCTGAAGGGGAAAAGAATCATAATAGTAGATCACAAAAATCAAAGCTTGCTAAATAAACCCATTACAATATTACGATTTTTTTTTGACGAAAATTTTGACGATTTTTCTGACGAAAGCACTTCTTTTTGAAAAACAATGGATTTCCAGGCTTTTGTGTTATTTTTTTTGTATTTTTAATGTTTTGACATTCAATAACTTCTCATGTTCACTCACTTTTTAAACGGTTTTATTTAGCTTGCCCTGCTTGTTTGTTTGGTCAAATTTTGTAAACGAAGTTTGACCTTCTTCCTGTTGACAGATTGATCTGATATTTGGTACACACATTTAGTTCTGACAGTATAATTTGATGAATTCTGAATCATTGTAAATCAAAGATGGCCGTAGCAACAAATATGGGTATCAGATCACAGGGCTTGATCAGTACAATAGTAGTGAACCTTGAAACATGCGAATTCAAGATGGCCGCTGCTACAAAATGGCGGATTATATATTTTTCCACAACTACCCAAATAAGAATATCAAATGACAGGGCCGGACCAGTAGAATACTAATAAAGTAGAGCAGCAGTACCGAAAACCAAACTATGTTTGTTAATGCTTGCAACAGCTGTAAACTTGGGATTATTGAAAGCAAAGAACTTCACATTCAGTGAATTAGGGATATATCTTTCTGGTCGGTAGTCAAAGCTGTTGATCAAAACTTTACAAAATCCACAATTCCACCACTAACACAAACGGATGGTTCAGTTGCAACAACAGCCATAGAAAAGGAAATTTACTAGCAGAACAATTTGGTACCACTCCACAGTCGATTTTCTGGGTAAGGCACAACCCACTTTTCCCACGCTAGAATCTACAATGCTGGAAATTACTTTTAGACAACGTTTAGTCAGGTGAATTTTGAAACAGCTCAATATCAACGAGGCATCTGGCTCTGATGAAGTGCCCGTCATCGTACTTAAAAAGTGCACAAATGAACTCGCACCAGTATATTGCAGACTTTTCAACCTGTCTTACAAAAAAGGGTTATTTCTTCTTGTTGGAAGATTGTTCGCGTTCAAACTATTCCCAATAAGGGCAATAAAAGTTTTCCAAATAACTATAGATCAGTCGCTTTGCTATCACTGATATCGAAAATCATGGAGAAAGCCGTGAACTAGGATATCTTCAAATATTCAGAAGACTTTAACCGACCGACCGAGCGATCATCAATATGGCTTTTGGAAACAAAGATCAACAGGCGACCTTCTATCGTATGACAACCGTATTTGAAGAGTTATGAGCTGTTGCGCTTGATATTTCTAAGGCCTTTGACTGTGTGTGGTATGAGGATAAGCTGGCAAAACATTAATGCTATGACTTGTCAGATCATTTTCGTCAATGGCTCTTCAGCTTCCTGAAAAAAAGTTTCCTGCAAGTGGCCATCTATGGATTTCCCTACCGAGCAACGTCTAAATTGGTAGCAAATTTCCAAAAACGTCTTCCCTCGATAGGAAGACTAAATACATTGTCTCTGGTCTGGATTCCTAGTCATACTGGCCTGGAAGGCAATGACGCTGCTGATTCCCTTGCAAAGGAGGGTGCTGCAAGCAGCTTCATCTTACCAGAACCTGTCATTGGCATCGCTTTAGGCTTTGCCAAACAAATATTGTACACCTGAATGGCAAGAAGATTTATGGACTTCTGTCAGAATCTTCCAGAATTGGCTCACTCCAAGGCGTTTATTCACTCTTCAAAGCTTGATATCAAACAGTTGTTGGAATATAGTAGGGATGAACTACGATGTCTAACATGCCTTTTTACAGGTCACTGCCATTTGAATCATATCATCATATGTTGAGACTCGAGCTGTCGGAAGACAGTGTGTGTCGCCTGTCTTTGGAAAATGATGAAACATCAGAGATCATGCTATGTGCCTGCCCCTCTGGGGACCGAATCAGGTTTTTAGAGTTCGGCTGTGCCGTAGTCTTACCATTTGACCTGAAAGACCACTCACCATACAAACTAATCGGCTTCGTTAAGGAGCTGGGTTTATGTGGTCGAGTATGAAGAGGTGTGAGCCACAATTAACCTTTGCATGATGCAGTGGAGGGTCGAATAGACCCACTGACTCTGGACCTAACCTAACCTAACTTATGGATGTCTCATACTTTCATCATCAACGCTGGTATTCCCCACGGATCTAAATTACCTTCAACCTTTTTTTTATAGTATATCAACATTGGAGAAACAAAGAGTTCAATTATTGCTTTCCATTTGGATTCCTGGACACCGGCTGCATATGCACATCTTCACTGGATCTATGAGTTATTTCGAATTGGGGTGAAAGTAATCAGATTCCATTCAATTTCACAGAAACC